GTGGTGCTCTTCTTTGAGCAGGTTAACACATCTCATGTACATGGTATGCAGCTGTTAATCTAGGAAATGCCTTTTTCTTGGTACCGGTTCATAAGGACCACCAGAAGCAATCTGCTTTCAGTTGACAAGGCCAGCAGCATGCCTTTACAGTTCTCCCTCAGGGATACAGTAACTCTCTAGCTCTGCGTCATAGCTTAGTTTGAGGAGATCTTGGTCATTTGTCTCTTCCACAAACTATCCCTTTGGTTCTCTATATAACAACATTGTCCTGATTGGACCAAGTGAGTAGGAGGGAGCAATCATTTGGACTGGTAACCCTTATTTACACTAGATTTTAAGTTTCCTTTGGTCACTTTCTAACTATAGACCTAAAAGATACTTTTCATTGTGCAAAAAAGTTTGTCACCGTCATTTCTGACATGAGTACAATGCCATTCCTACAAAACAAATTTCAGTACAGATTATAAACAGTAAAAATGCTAATGTATCTAAAACTTATGTTTTCACAAACTCAAAGAATTCCTGTAAGTTTGAGGGAGCTGACTGGGAGGATTCATCTCAGGTCAGATGCACCCCTCCCTCAATTACCCGAAGAGTCCAAGCCTTCCCACCTTTCCCTGGTCCTGACACCTTCCCCCTCAATCACCAGGACTTTAAGAAAAAAATTATTATTATTATTATTATTTTGTTTTTGTGAGACAGGGTTTCTCTGTAGCTTTTGGAGCCTGACCTAGAACTAGCTCTTGTAGACCAGGCTAGCCTCAAACTCACAGAGATCCGCCTACCTCTGCCTCCTGAGTGCGGGGATTAAAGGCATGTGCCACCACTGCCCGGCAAGAAAAAAAAAATTCCCTAAACTTAACTTTGTCCTTTGTTCTGCCAGCACCTCCCCAGGTCCAAGAGAGACTGGACAGTTCCACAGAGCCTGGACAGCAGTGAAACAACCAGCTACCCCGGGATGTGGCTAGCATCCCAGCTTCCTCAGAGCTCCCCAAGATTTCAATGCCCACAGATCAGCAGGAAGCTGTCTTGAGAACCCAGTACTCCATCCCTGCTCCAACTGCTATTCCTTTTAATTTCCCTACCATTTAAAATAAGAAAAAGATGGGAGTGTTAGGATTCAGGCATTATGTGGCCTGTCCTGTCATCTTGCAGGATGCACCCAGGCAGGTGCAAAGGGTCCCTTTAAGAGACAAGCTCCAGGGCTGGAGAGATGGCTCAGAGATTAAGAGAACTGACTGCTGTTCCGGAGGTCCTGAGTTCAATTCCCAGCAACCACATGGTGGCTCACAACTATCTACAATGAGATCTGATGCCCAGAACACTATATACATAATAAATAAATAATTTTTAAAAAAAATTAAAAAAGAGACAAGCTCTACCCACTCCCCCATTTCTCTTCCCAGGCTTTTGCCTCTCCTTTCCTCCCTTCTACCCTCCTCTCAATAATAAACTCCACATTCAAACTCTGTCCCTATAGCCTATCTGTCACCCACCGCTCTCTCACACGGTCCTTACCCTCCATGGAATCCGCCAGGGTCCCACTCTCGCTGTAAATCTTAACACCTGGCTCCTCCCACCACCAAGCAAGAAGCACAGTGTTTTGTAAACCTACTTAGATTCTGGATACAGCACATTCCTCTCCTGGGGGTTATTCCACCCCACACATCAAGCGGTGTGGGAAGTCATGAGCTTTGAGTGGAGCCTGGAACAGAAGACTCTTCCACAGGTCCAGGGTGCTGTACAGGCTGCTCTACTGCTTGGATCATATGATTCTGTAGACTTGATGGTACTTGAGGTCTCAGTGGCAGATAGGGATGCTGTTTGGAGCCTTTGGCAGGCTCCTGTAGATAAACCACAGAAGACACCACAGGGATTTTGGAGCAAGGGTCTACCATCATCTGCAGACAACTAGTCTCCTCTTGAGAGGCAGCTCTAGGCTGGCTACTGGGCCTTTGTGCAAACTTAATGTTTGACAATGGTCACCAAGTTACCATGCAACCCAAGTTGCCCATCACGAGCTGGGTGCTATCTAACCCATAAAGTCATAAAGTAGGACTTTATGATTGCACGGCAGAAATCTACTATCAAATAGAAGTGGTATACATCTGTGATCAGGCACAGGCAGGTCCTGAAGGCATAAGCAAGTTACATGAAGAAGCTGCCCAAATGACTGATTTCTACACAGTGCCATCTGCTGCCAAGCATGCAGTTAGAGCCTTCTAGGGTGTGCCCTATGACCGGTAGACTGAGGAAGAGAAGACTAGGGCCTTCTTTCTGCCTGGCTTACTGATGGCTCTGCAGGAACCACCCGGAAGTGGACAGCTATGGCATTACAACCCCTTTCTAAGATACCAGTAGAAAGAACTTTGAGCAGTGCATTTAATTTGGAAGGAGAAATGGCCAGATGTGCAACTGACTTATTCATGGTCTATAGCCAATGGACTGGCTGGCTGGTCAGGGACTTGAAATGTCCTATGTAAATGCTCATCAAAAGGCAACCAGCAGAGAAGAATTCAGTAATCAAGCAGATAGGATGATCCATTTTGTGGCCAGTCACTCTTTCCTCAAGCATTCCTGTCATTGCCCAATGGGCCCATGAACAAAGTGGCCATGGTGGCAGAGATGGGGGTTATGCGTGGACCTGACAACACGGATCGACACTCACCTTGCTGCACCTGCTACTGAGGGCCAGATGTACCAAAAGCAGAGACAAACACTGAGCACCAGATCTGACATCACTCCCTGGAGTAACTAGCCAGGGACCAATTGATAGGTTGATTGCATTGGGCTACTTTCTTCATAGAAAGGACAACACTTTGTCTTTACTGGAGTAGATATTTGCTCTGGTTATGGAGTTGTCTTTCCTGGTGGTAATGCTTCTGCCAAAACCACCATTCACAGACTTACAGAATGTTTTATCCACTGTCATGATATTGCTCCTGACAAAGGAACGTCAGAGAAGTCTAACAGCAGGCCCACAATCATGAATTCACCATGTTGCCCACCATCCTGAAGTAGCTGGCCTGACAGAAGATGAAATGGCCTCTTGAAGACAGTTACTGCACCAATTAGATGGCAGCAGCATGGAGGGATAAGCAGGGTTCTCAAGAAGGTGGTATATGCTCTGAATCAGCAACCAATATATGGTACCATTTCTCCCATAGCAAAGAACCACAGGTCCAGGAGCCAAGGAGTGGAAAAAGGAATAGTTCCACTCACCATCACCCCAAGTGACCCACTAGGAAATCTTTTCCTTTGTTTCCTTCCTTAAATTCTGCTGGCCTAGTTTTGTTTCCCTGATAAGGGAACAAAGGCACCTGCCAGGAGCTAACAAACATTCCATTGATCTGGAAGCTCAGATTTCCTCCTGGCCACTTTGGGCTTCTGATGCCCTCAAGTCAACAAGCCAAGAAAGGAATAACAGTGTTAGGAGGAGTGATTGATCCAGATTGCCCTGGGGAAATCGGATTGAGTCCAAGAGATCTTTAGGGTGTCCTCTGGTGCCGTGATGTCCTATAATTGAAGTCAGTAGGAAATGACAGCCTAATTCAGGCGGGATGACAAAGGGAACAGACTCTTCAGGAATGAAGGTGTGGGTCACTCCTCCAGGAAGAGAGCACAGACCTGCTTCAGTGCTCACGAGGGTACAGGAAATACAGAATGGATAGGAGAGAAAGGTAGCTATAAACCAGTCAAGGTCACATGACCAGTTGCAGAAACAAGATGACAAGTGTTTGTCATACTTTAAGTATGTTTGCACAGATATTAGTGCTTTCTTTCAATTTATCATGTAATGTAACATCAATTAAAAGACTGCCAGTGATTATGTTCACTTTTGCGATACTAAAAGGGACATTGCTACCTATTTCAAAATGTAAAATGTATTCGCCGTTGTGTGAGGGAAGAGTTGTCTGCCTTGTTAAGCATAATTATGACCTGGTTAAACACATGCCTTAGTTATTGTACACGGGATAGTTATGTCAGGCATAATTATGTCATGGTTATTGTTTTCACTTGGAAATTAAACATGACTTAAGGATATATGATTGTGTCAAGTTGACAAGGGGTGGACTTGGGATGGCTGTTCTTGGTTGTCATCTTGACTCCGTCTGGAATTAACTAAAATCCAAATGGCTGGGTTTACCTGTAAGGAATTTTTTCTTTCTTTTTTGAGACAGGGTTTCTCTGTAATAATCCTGGCTGTCCTGGAACTTGTTTTGTAGACCAGGCTAGTGTCAAACTCAACCTGCCTCTGTGTCCCAAATGCAGGGATTAAAGGCATGTGTCTGCCACCACTGTCCAGCCTCTTTTGTCTTTTTACTGACTGAAGTTTTCAAACACAAGTCAGCTATGGCGAAGTCTGCCTGAAGTCCCAGTTGCCAAGGCAAGCAGGTCTTGGTTCAAGGCCAGCCTGCCTACACTTATGATTTCTCAGACAAGCATGGTGATCTGTTCCCTAAGCACTTGTCCCTCCCTTGCAGCTGGGGCAGAGCCCATCTCTTGTTCTCAGCTTAGAACCAGCAGCTGTTTGCCAGCGGAAGGAGCAGGTGGCACTGCCAGGACTGACTGCTACAAACCAGCATCTCCCAAGATGATCTTCATGCTCCACGAACCTGAAGAGAGTTGAACATTTTCCTCCTTTGAAGGAAAAGAAGCTTCTTCCCTTTGTGCCTATCAGGCAACTGCCTCATTGCCTCAGGAGCATCCTCCAGTTTCCAGAACCCCTATTTTCTCTCTTTCAGTTTTTTTGAGACAGGGTTTATCTTTGTGTAGCCCCTGCTGTCCTGGAACTCATTCTGTAGACCAGGCTGGCCTAGAACCCAGATATCCACCTCCCTCTGCCTCCCAAGTGCTATTAAAGGCATGCGCCTCTACTACCCAGCAGAACCCCTATTCTCATTCTTGGAGCTGAATTCCACCTCCCACTTGGACCCATCCGCCTGGCCTCATCCAGAGATCACACAGACACACGCATACAGGTGTTGCTAAAGGAAACTTTAATAGGGCATGGCTGATTCTTCTTTGAGGTCAAAGAGGAAGGGCATCGTATCTGTAAGAGAGTTAGGAGGAGCTTGCATCCTTGGCCTGCTCTCTCCCGGGTCTGCTATGCTGTCCCACAGAGCTCAAGGCTCCAATGCTACCACTTCTGAAGCCTTTCTGCTTGCTATGGAAGAGTCGTCTCTGCACAGAACCCCTTGTACTTCTTACCCAGCTCGTATGTGATTTCCCAGCATGCTGGACTGCCGGCAGCGCCAGCTACAACCATGGCCTCCCAACCTACTGCTTAGTTCAACTCTTGTGGGAGGTCTCAGAGGATCTCAACCACTCCTAGTCTCCCTGCTTCCTACAGATGTCTCTAGAGTGGGAGCCTGGCAGGCACATCTAGCCTAGGGTCTGGGCCTCAGGTCCCCCACCCTTGGACCCACCCGTGGCAAGGCTTCACACCTGGCTGGCTCATGCACTGTTGGATACTTTCCAGCCGTGTGAAAGCCAAGGTTCGGGTCTCCTCCGCAAAGCGGCGGTGTCCCTCCTCAGTCAACTTCCAGAGGCAGGATCGAGGCCGTGTGTGGGCCTCACACTGCATACCGACCGGCACTTTCTCAAAGCTGTCTCGGAAACAGAGATTGTGACGGATCGTGTTCTTCCAGCCTTCTGGAGCTGTCCGGAAAAAGGGGAAGTGCCTTCTGTGGACAGGGAGGAAATGTAGGAAGGGTGTGGGTCCTCTGAAAAATTCTAGGCCTTGTTCTCCCCCAGGGCCAGGAGCCTCAGAACTTCCTAGCAGGGTGAAGCGGGGCAGGCTGGTCTGGAGCCTTTTGCTGGCAGAACCACAATCCCGGAATCGCTTATGACCCACCTTTTGGTTTTTTTGGTCTTTTTGAGAGAGTCTTAATGTAGCTCAGATTGACACTGGACCCTCTGGGTAGCTGAGGATGACCTGGTCCGCCTCCTACCTCTACCTCCTAAGTGCTGGGATTACAGGCCTGTGTCACCATGTGCCACCATGCTTGGCTGAGAACTTTCTCCTCCTAAACCCACTTTACTGTCCCCAACCCCAGGTTCGTTTTTGCCCCTCCCTCAAGGGTTGAGGATTTTGATAGCAAACCATGAGAGAACCAACATGCTGAGTTCTCTGCCTAAAATCAGGGAAGGCCTCCCCCAATACTCACTCAGACATGAATATCAAAGCTGAATGTTAGTCAGTTGTGGTATCGCACCTTTAATCCCAGCATTTAGGAGGTAGAGGCAGGTGGATCTCTGGTTTTGAGGCCAACTTGGTCTACATAGGACAGTCAGGGCTACACAGAGAAACACTGTCACTCAGGAGACAGGTAAGTAGATCTCAGAGTTCAAGTCTACTCTAGTCTATATCGTGAGATCCTGGTCAATCAGAGCTACAAAGTTATCTCAAAAATGAGGCCATAATTTCAACTTCAATTATCACGCACATGTGCGCGCACGCACACGCGTGGGCATGCACGTACACTAAATGCAAATCCTCAGTGAGGCTTTCTTGACCCCAGAGGGTACAGGGTTCTGTGCCAGTCAGGACAGTCTAAGGGGCAGTAGGTGGAAGATGTTGTTGGGAATATAGGGTTTTATTCTGGCTAATCTTTGGAGGCAGTGGGAGAAGCTGCAGTCTGGCCCAGGTGGACTGATATCTGGGGGAAGGCTGAGTTTTAAGAGGCGGAAGGGGGTAGGCATGCATTTGCCTGGGAAAGAAAACCAGGATGATACAAATATGCTCAGGCCCAGATGGGGAAACTGAGTCAGCAGCCCATGGCCAGGTTGGAAATTATTAGACCCTGAACCTCCCCCTTTCCCTCCTCACAGGCTTCCTGGGCACATACCGAATGAAGCTGTAGATCTGCTGTACGTTGATGCCACAGGGGGCACTGTTTCTGAGTGCCAGGGCAATTAGATGGAAGTAATTGAGAGGGGGACGGAACCAGAGCCTCCCCTCTGGGCTGATAGCTTGTCCAAGCCTCCTGCGACTCTGGAGGGGGGCCCTTGTGGGAAGGGATGGGAGAGCCACAGAGGAGCTGTCATCCTGGTCCTTGGCCTCCTCCTCTTCTGTAAGCTAGAGGGGCACAGAGTAGGATCTGGTCCTGACTCCTTGGCCTCTGCTCCAGGATACAGTGGCAGATGAGGGAGCAGTCTAGCATCCACCATCTGGGCTTCTCCCCAACCCAAGAGCACAGAGCAGTTCTCAAGGTGTTCATTTTTTACTGGCCCTCAGACACCCAACTGCTGATGCCTCGACCCTGTGCCCACTCATCCGTACCTCCTCCCAGGTGCTAGGAGAAGAGGCAGTGTGCTTCTGCTTCTTCTTCTGCTTGTGAGGAGGTGATGGCTGGCTGGCAGACGGCAGCTGCAGCTGTGCCCCTGAAGCCTCGGAGCAGCTGGCTTCTTCCTCCTTCAAGACCCTTTTAGGTCTCCTGACCTCCAGCTTGCCGGGGGGATACACAATGTTTGGGTTCACCCACATCCACAGATTGGGCTTAATGTCTGGACCTGTGCAGAGGGAAAAGGGACTTACCATAGCTCACTGGCTTTGGAGAGATAACCCCAGCTCAGGGAAATAAAACCACGTCCAGAGAGCTCACTACTTACCATCTTTATCAGGGTTGGGTATTTTTTCCAAAGGCAATGTTGGTGGTTTAACTATTTGGAGTCTGTATTTGGCAACTGGCAAAGAAAGAGAGAGAGTCAAGACATAGAATTTTCACTGTTACCCCACAATCTGGGGACTTGAAAGTTTTTGGGGGCGCTGTGGGCTAGCCAGGGTTGTATGAAGCTATAGAGACTAGTAGTCCCTTCACCTCCGACCTTCAAAGTTTCTGCATTTTTCTCTCACTGTGCATACACTATCCCTGAACAACCTCATACACACCTATGGATGTGTTATCATTCATAAATCCAGGGCTCCCAAATCTACCTACATACCAGACTTCTCTGCCAGTCTCTAAAGTAGAGCTGTGGACTAGGTGTTGTTACTTGAGCTATTTTGTTTTGTTTTGTTTGTTTTTCGAAACAAGGTTTCTCTGTAGCTTTGGTGGCTGACCTGGAACTAGCTCTTGTAGACCAGGCTGGCCTAGAACTCACAGAGATCTGCCTCCCAAGTGCTGGGATTAAAGGCGTGCACCTACCGCACGGCCTTGAGCTATTGACAAGTACTTCAAACTCAGTATCTCCCCTCTTTCCTACTCTTCTCTCCCCTTTTTTCTCCTTTCCTCCTGACATTGGGGTCCTGTTATAAGCCACAGGCTGGCCTCAAAGTCTTCGTCCCCCTGCCCGAGTCTCCCAGGATTACAGGCATACTACTATGGCCAACTTCAAGCTTAACATATCTAAAATTAAATGACATTTTCTTGGGCTGTCAAGATAGTTTATCAGGTCATATTTGGAACAAAACCTATCCCCTAGCCCTGCCCACAAGTGTTATTCTATATCCCTACTTTATTAAAGTGTGACTTACAACTTCATATGGGAAGGCAAACTGAAAGTGGAGGTCACAGACAGTTGGGGTCCGGTCTGTAGGTAGACTTGAGAGCCCTGGATTTATAGATGGTGACTTACAGTCTCTGCATAGGCAAATAATACTCCAAAATAAACTCCTTGGTTGAGCCAGGGCAGTGGTGGCACATGCATTTAATCCCAGCACTTGGGAGGCAGAGGCCAAGTGATCTCTCTGAGTTCAAGGCCAGCCTGGTCTAAAGAGTAAGTTCCAGGACAGCCAGGGCTGTACAGAGAAACCCTGTCTCAACACACACACACACACACACACCGCCACCCCCAACAAAAAAAAGAGTTGGTTCAGGGCTGGAGAGATGGTTCAGTGGTTAAGAGCACTGGCTGTTCTTCCAAAAGACCTGGGTTCAATTCTCAGCACCTACATGGCAGCTCACAACTGTCTCTAACCTTCACACAGACATACATGCAGGCAAAACACCAATGCACATAAAATAAAATTTAAAAAGACCTTTTATTTAAAAAAAAAAGTAAAGAGTTGATTCTCCTCTTCCTACCACGTGTGTTCTGGTGAGCAAACAGGTCATCTGGCATGACAGCCTTCACCTGCTAAGTCATCTTGTCTACCTTTCTTGTTTTTATTGTGGGTGGCGCGTGTGGAGTGTAGAGCATGTGTATGTTTGGACACCTGTATATGTATGTGTGTATGTGGGATATGTGGAACACGTACAAGTGCACTGGAGGTCCATGTACCTGTCTGTGTGTGAATGTATGTTGTAGAGCTGTGTCTGGGAGAACACGAGTCTGTACGGGGTGTGTGTGCATGCCCCTGCATGCGTGCATGTGGAGGCCAGGATTCCAATGACTTCCTCTATCAGGCTCCACCTGATATTACTTTTTTAAAAAAAGCATTAAAGTTAATTAGTTTGTGGGGGCACATGTGTCATGGTGCTTGTACATCATAAGACAATTTGAAGGGGCTGGTTCTCTTTCCACTATATGGGACTCAGGTGGCAGGCGTCAGGCTGCCCCTTGTTCTTGTTTCTCACTGAACCAGAAGTTCCCCCTTTTGGGTTAGGCTGCCTGACTGGTGAGCTCATGAGATACACCTGACTCCACTCCTAAATGCTAGGATACAGGCACAAACACCGATGTCTAGCTTTTGAGGCAGGTGCTGGGGATTTAAACTCAGAACCTCACATACAGAGTTACATGCTCTTAGCCACTGAACCATCTCCCTGGCCCCCTTATTTTTGTTACAGAAAACAAAGACTCAGGGTTGAGGTTGTAGTTCATCAGTGAAGCCCTTGTCTGAGATGCACAAGCCTGGGTTCAATCTCCAACACCACAAAATAAGATTTTTTTTTTTGGTTGTTTGAGACAGGGTTTCTCTGTGTAACAGCTCTGGCTGTTTTTGGAACCAGCTCTTGTAGATCAGGCTGGCCTCAAACTCAAGGAGATTCTCCCGCCTCTGCCTCCTGAGTGCTGGGATTAAAGGCAAACGCCACCACTGCCCAGCGACAAAATATTTTTTTAAAGATTGTTTTGAGATGGGGTCTCATTAAGACATCCTAGCTGGCCTATAACTTGCTATATAGACCAGGCTGGCCTTGAACTCACAGACCTGTCTGTCTGTGACTTTCAAGTGTAATACTACATTCACTTAAGCATTTTAAATGCTTAAGGTTTTCTTGTCATCATTCCTCAGTTAGTATTCAACTGATATATTTGGATTGTTTTGTGTTAAAATATTTGATTTCGCTAGTGTAGTGGTGCATGCCTTTGATCCCAGCACTTGGGAGACTGAGACAGGTGGATTTCTGTGAGTTCAAAGTCAGCCTGGTTTATTTTATATAGTGAATTCCAGGTCAGCCAGAGAGACATAGTGAGACCCGGACTTGAAAAAAAAAAATCAAAACAAGGGGCTGGAGAGATGGCTCAGTGGTTAAGAGCATTGCCTGCTCTTCCAAAGGTCCTGAATTCAATTCCCAGCAACCACATGGTGGCTCACAACCATCTGTAATGAGGTCTGGTGTCCTCTTCTGGCCTGCAGACATATACACAGACAGAATATTGTATACATAATAAATAAATAAATATAAAAAAATCAAAACAAGCAAAACAAAGAATATTTGATTTAAAAATACTCCATAGAGTTTTGTTTTGAGGTTAGGATGGAATTTCAACTACTGAAGTGGCACAGAAATAGATTTCTGCCATTTTGTTCTACATTTAGGGAAAGCATTCACAGTACGATTAAAAGATTAAAATATCAGTCAACTCTGAAAACTGTTGAAGATACTCTACGTAAATTCTGTAGTATCAAAGATTCGACCAAAATTTAATTTTCTATGTAAAAATAAGCATATTTGAGACTGGAGAGATTGCTCAGTGGTTAAGAGCACTCACTGACTATTCTTCCAGAGGACTGGGGTTCAATTCCAAAGAGGGCAACTCACAACTGTCTGTTACTCTAGTCCCAGGGGATCTGACACCTACACACCAACACATAAAATACATTTAAAAAAAGCACATTTATCTCATTTGTATGTAAATCTGTTTGTATTTTTAATAACGGAAAAATTATGTGGCTTTTTTTGCGATTATTCATTCATCGATAGCGATTCTGTATTGATCGCTTATCAACCGCTATGAGCGCCAAAGGGACTCAAACCCGGGTCCTCTGGCACAAGAGCATTAGGCGCCCTTAGCCGCTGAGTCACCGCTCAAGATGCTAAATTATGTGTGTTTTAAAGAACCGTTTTAAAATAAGTTTCCCACAGATTTATTATCAGCACATGTTTGATTTGCATGCCAACTTTACAAACCTATAAAGTTGGCTTTGTTAGAGACAGGGTCTCTATGTAGCTCTGACTGCCCTGGAACTCTGGATGTGGACTAGAGATTTGCCTCTACCTGTGCTTACGTACCTAAATACTTAGGATCCCATAAAAATGTCTTAGGTGAGGCTGGGCGTGACCATAGCTTATTTTATGTGTATGAGTGCCTGCATGTATATACGCGCACCACATGCACACTTGGTGGTGTCCAGGGAGGCCTGAAGAGGGTGTCCCCTCACTTGGAGTTATAGATGGTTGTGACATTGTAGATGCAAGAGCAGTGAGCACTCTTAAAAGCTAAGCCATCTTTTCAGGCCCTGAAACTTTTAAAACTTTTCTCACCTGGCATCCCTTTTGACCCTAGACTTTGTTTGTTTGTGTGTTTGTTTGAGACAGGGTTTAACAACCCTAGCTGTCCTGGAACTCACTCTGTAGACCAGGCTGGCCTCCTGAGTCCTGGGATTAAAGGTATATGCCACCACATCATTAGGTTATTGTTTGAAAGGAGACAATGTGCTTACTGGACAACTCAGTAATTAGAAAGGGTACTCTCATTTCCTTTCCTTGCTAATGTTCCTAACAACTTTGGGTCAGGTCGGTGAGGGTACACACGTGTAATCCCAGCACTTGAGAGTCTGAGGTGCAAGGATTACATCTGGAATGCAAAACATCATACAGCAACGTTGTGCGATATTAGAACCTACGTGATGGTTCAGCGAGTCAAAGAGCTTGCTGCCTGGCTTGCCAGCTTGAGTTTAGACTCTGAGACCCACATAATAGGATGAATGAACTGACCCCCACAGCAAGGGCTGATGTTCACACATGCACTAACAGCAGCGTGCAAGCACACATGTGCACTAACAGCAGTGTGCAAGCTCACATACATACACATACAGAAATAAATGTTTAAAATGTAACATAAAAAAATATGGAATCACTTGGGAGGCAGAGGTAGGTCGGCCTGGTCTACAGAGTGAGTTCCAGGACAGGCTCCGAACAACACAGAGAAACCCTGTCTTGAAAAACCAAAAGTAGGGCTGGAGAGATGGCTCAGAGGTTAAGAGCACTGACTGACTGCTCTTCCAGAGGTCCTGAGTTCAATTCCCAGCAACCACATGGTGGCTCACAACCATCTGTAACGAGGTCTGGTGCCCTCTTCTGGCCTGCAGGCATACACGCAGACAGAATATTGTATACATAATAAATAAAAAATTATTAAAAAAAATTTAAAAAAAAAAAGAAAAACCAAAAGTAAATAAATAAATAGTAAATGTCAAGTATACTGAAGCAAGGAATGGTGGTGCATGCCTACATGTGGTGAGGGCCAGAGGATCCAGGCCAGAGTTAGCAACACACCTATTTCAAGTGGCTTTGTAAGTGGAAAATGTAACTTAGTGATTTAAAAAATAAAACATTTATTTATTTACTTACTCATCTATTTCTTTTATGTGTGTGTGGGGTGGGGGTGGGGGTCAAGGCCACTTTCTCACCTGAGTTCCAGGAATTAAACTCCTGGTTAAAACTCCTGCCCACCCCACCCATCCTTTTGAGACAGGGTTCTAATATGTAGCCTGGGATGCTCCAGAATTTGAGATTTTCTTACCTCAGCATCCACAAGTGTGTGCAACACTTTTTTTTTTTTTTTTAAGTCATGGTGTCCTGGAATTTACTATCTAGACCAGACCGGCCATGAACTCTTAGAGATTTGCCTACCTCTGCCTCCCAAGCGCTGGGATTAAAGGCATATGCCACCATGCCTAGCTCTTGAGACTTTTGACTTGCATGTATTAACTGTAAAAGGGCATGGGAGCTGGGTAGTAGTGGCACACGCCTTTAATCCCAAATCTCTGTGAGTTTGAGGCCTGGAACTCACTAGTTCCAGGACAGGCTCCAAAGCTACAGAGAAACCCTGTCTCAAAAAAACAAAAGAAAAAAAAAAAAAGATCGTGGGAACCTGTGAATAGCAGCTTGCACCTGTACACCTGTAATCCCAGCACTGGGGAGACTGGGTGGGAGGATCTCAAGTTGGAGACCAGCCTGGGCTATCTATAGAACAGAACCAAACAAACCAAACAACGACATTTTGGTCTCAAAACAAACCAAAAACGACATTTTCACACACACACAATGTATTTGATCAGGTTTACCCCATTACCCTGTGTTGACCACCTCTATTCCTCCCTCCATTTCTTTTCTTTGGGGGGGCGGGGGCTGGTCTCAAGGCCAAGCAGCCCTTGAACTGTAAGCCAAGGACGACCTTGAGCTCCGGACCCTCCCACCTCTATCTCCCCACCTCAATTCTTGAAACAAATTCTCACCAGGGTTCCTGTGTAACACCACCACTGTTTGGTTCTTGGTTGTCTTCTGGGGAGGTTATCTCTTTTCCCTCAGTCTCTACACTGGAATGCCTCAAGGGTTCAGCCTTGCTCCAACTATTCTTACTCCTTGAATTCCAACCTTATACCAAAAATCTCAAAACTTGTGTCACCAATCCACCCCCTCCCCAGAAGCCCAGGCCCTGACATTTAATCACCTGCTCACTTGCTGTTCCTTCTTGGATAAATAAGACCAAGTCAGGGACCCAGCCAAGGCTACATGGTGAGACGCTGTCTCAAAACAAAACGCAAAACCTTCCCAGAAACAAAGACAAGGAAGGGCCTTGCACAAGCCACCTTTAGGATGATCTAAAATCGTTGGGCTCAATCACTCCTGTGCTACTGAGGCATATGGATGGCATTTAGATGTGGAAGTGGTGCTGGTGGATGTGACTAATGGGGAAAAGGTAGTATTAACCCAACGATTTTGCCAGGCAAGGCACAAAAAAGAACACTTTTAACACAAGAGTAATTACTTCAAACAATTGAACTTCAGGTCAGGTCCAAGGAGGAGGAAAAATTTAGAGAGAACATACTGGCCCACCCTCCCTTCGGCAATGTTAAATCTATTTGGTTCTAGGACAACACAAGTGGCGTGGCCCACAGGAAGAGCCCGGAGGTAGGTCAATGGTTAAGGCTTGAGGCAAAGCCGGGTGGTGGTGGCATGTCTTTAATCCCAGCACTTGGGAGGCAGAGGCAGGCGGATCTCTGTGAGTTCGAGGCCAGCCTGGTCTACAAGAGCTAGTTCCAGTACAGGTTCCAAACAGTGAAACCCTGTCTCAAAAACAAACAAAGGGCCTCAAAACAAAAACAAATAGCAACAACCAAGCAAAAAAGGGGCAAGGATATTTTCCCAAAGAGAACTATGACTGTTTTATATCGAAAAATAAAGCCTTCAGTATGCCAAGTGAAGCCTAAAAGGAGAGAGAGAGAGAGAGAGAGAGAGAAAGAGAGAGAGAGAGAGATGCTGCCACCCACGAGCCCCTCCCCCACATCCCCACTCACGTTCCTGTATGTACTTGGGCAGGTGCGACGTGGTGAAGGACAAGAAACACTCATTGCTCATGTCCCAGTCCAGCAAGCCCGGCACTTGGCCATGGAGGCTGGCCCAGAAGTCCTGGTCCTGGAGTCTGGGGTCCACTTTAAAGGATAGAGGACTCGGGCCGGCGCCAGTGCGGAGGCTCGCCTGAGTGGAAGGTGCTTCCTCAAACACCTGGGGCAATTGAGCGGGTGGGAGCGGTCAGCCGAGCAGCCCCTCCAGACACTCCCAATTGCCCCAGGTTCCACCCGGAGCTCCTGATCACCAGGCTTTCCTCAGCCTGAGGACGCGGCTCAGCTGATAGTCTATCTAAGCAGTTGGAAGACCCTCACCGCCTAAAACCAGATTTCGTGCTACACACCTACAACCACACTCGGTAGAAAGCGCAAATTCAAGGCTACCTTAAGCTACTTTGAGGGTTAGTCTTTCGAGAAACGCTGGCTCAAGGGGCCGGGGGTCAAGGGTGAGTGGGTTAGCGAGGGGAGGGGGGTAGGAAGAGTTAAAATGCGGGGGCATGGAGGGGCAGGCTGAAGGTGCTAGACCAGCAGACCTTAAAGAAAAATAACAAAGCAGGGCGTGGCTACGGCAGACCTTTAATCGCAGTACTCAGAAGGCAGGCAGATCCCTGTGAGTTCTAGACCAACCTTGTCTACAGAGTGAGTTCCAGGACAGCCAGGGCTACACAGAGAAACCTTATCTAGAAAAAATAAATAAATAAATAAAACAAAAAAGAAACAAAAAAATGTATATTTCATAAAAGTTTTATACAGTTTATCTAAGATTGTAACCCTTGTAGGTGGTGGAGCTGAGATTAAATTACATAGCAATTTTATTTTTTAAATCTTTTTATGTTTTTTATTGATATTTATTGCGCTCTACATTTTTCTCTGCTCCCCTCCCTGCCTCTCCCCTCCTCCCTTCAGTCCTCCCCCAAGGTCCCCATGCTCCCAATTTTCTCATGAGATCTTGTCTTTTTTTTTTTTTTTTTTGGCTTTTCGAGATAGGGTTTCTCTGTAGCTTTGGAGCCTGTCCTGGAACTAGCTCTGTAGACCAGGCTGGCCTCGAACTCACAAAGATCCACCTGACTCTGCCTCCCGAGTGCTGGGATTAAAGGCGTGCGCCACCAACGCCCGGCAGTGGCGAGATCTTGTCTTTTTATACTTTCTACTTCCCATGTAGATTAGATCTATATAAGCTTCTCTTAGTGTCTGCATTGTTGTCTAAATTCTCTGGGATTGTGGTTTGTAGGCTGGTTTTCTTTGTTTTATGTTTAAAAACCACCTGTGAGTGAGTATATGTGATAATTGTCTTTCTGTGTCTGGGTTACCTCACTCAATAATGTTTTCTAGCTCCATCCATTTGCCTGCAAAATTCAAGTTGTCATTGTTTTTCTGCTGTGTAGTACTCCATTGTGTAATGTATCACATTTTCCTTATCCATTCTTCGGTCAAGGGGCATTCAGGTTGTTTCCAGGTTCTGGCTGTGACAAACAAAGCTGCTATGAACATAGTTGAGCACATGTCCTTGTGGCACGATTGAGCATCCTTTGGATATATACCCAAAAGTGGTATTACTGGGTCTTGAGGAAGGTTTTTTCCTAATTTTCTGAGAAATCTCCACACTGACATCCAAAGGAGTTGTACCAGCTTGCACTCCCACCAGCAATGCAGAAGTGTTCCCTTTTCCCCACAACCTCTCCAGCATAAGAGTTGTCATCAGGGTTTTTAATCTTGGCCATTCTTTCAGTTGTAAGATGGAATTTCAGAGTTGTTTTGATTTGCATTTCTCTGATGACTAAGGATATTGAATGTCTTTCAGCCATTTTAGATTCCTCTGTTGAGAGTTCCCTGTTTAGGTCTGTACTCCATTTTTTTTATTGGATTATATGTTCTTTTGATGTCCAATTTCTTGAGTTCTTTGTGTATTTTGGAGATCAGACCTCTGTCTGATGTGGGGTTAGTGAAGATCTTTTCCCATTCTGTAGGCTGTCGTTTTGTCTTGTTGACCATGTCCTTTGCTTTACAGAAGCTTTTCAGTTTCAGGAGGTCCCATTTATTAATTGTTTCTCTCAGTGTCTGTGATGCTGGGGTTATATTTAGGAAGTGGTTCCCTGTGCCAATGTGTTCAAGTGTACTTCCCACTTTCTCTTCTATAAGGTTTAGTGTGACTGGCTTTATGTTGAGGTCTTTGATCCATTTGGACTTGAGTTTTGTGCATGGTGATAGATATGGGTCTATTTTCATTCTTCTACATGTTGATATCCAGTTATGCCAGCACCACTTGTTAAATATGCTTTCTTTTTTCCATTTGATATTTTTTGCTTCCTTGTCAAAAATTAGGTGTTCAAAGATGTGTGGATTGATTCCATTGGTCCTCCTGTCTGTTCTTATGCCAGTACCAGGCTGTTTTCAGTACTGTAGCTCTGTAGTAGAGTTTGAAGCCAGGGATTGTGATGCCTCCAAAAGTTCTTTTATTGTACAGGATTGTTTTGGCTATCCTTGTTTTTTTGCTTTTCCATATGAAGTTGAATACCGTTCTTTCGAGGTCTTTGAAAAATTTTGCTAGGATTTTGATGAACATTGCGTTGAAAGCAATTTTTAGAATTTTGTTTTTAGTTTTAAATTTACAAAAAAAGTTACATGCTGTAGAAATTTCTTTGCATCCTTATTAACTTTTTATTCATTTAACCTTGCATCGATCCCCTCAGTCCATATGTATATATATACACATGTATACATACAGTTCTTCTCCTCAGTTTTTTGAAAATTTGATCCCACTCGATCCTGAAGCTCGCTTTTGTAAACCAGGCTGGGCTCAAGCTCACTGACATCCACCTGCCTCTGTCACCCGAAGTGCTGGGATTAACTCAGCCACCCAGTGCTTGGATCACAGGCCTGTGCCACCATACCTGCTCTGTTTTTGAGACAGCATCTCACTGTGTAGTCCAGGCTGGCCTTGAACTCACAGAGATATACCTGCCTTTGTCTCCCAAATGCAGGGATAAAAGCTGTATGGTATACCATGCCTGGCTTTTGTTTTTGTTTTGTTTTTGTTTTTTTTGAGACAGGGTCTCCCCCAACTGGGCTGGCCTTGAATTTCATACCCTTCTGCTTCTCCCTCCAGAGTACTGGGATTACAGGCATTGACTCCAATGTCAAACCCGTATTGTGTATGTAAATGGTCACATTTAGTGATCTCTGTGTTGTCTGGCCAGAAAATCCTTCTGGACACATAGAAATGTGTCTTTTTGTTTTGTTTTTTGTTTTTTCCTCTTGTAGACCAGGCTGGCCTCGAACTCACAGAGATCCTCCTGCCTCTGCCTCCCGAGTGCTGAGATTAAAGGTGTGTGCCACCACCGCCTGGCATATAGAAATGTGTCTTATGCCTTGCATCTGGCACATAGAAATGAATAGTGTCTGTGGAAAAACAATGATGCTGTCCTTCTGCTGGGCTCTGGCATTAATCTTAACAGACCATGGACTGTTCCAGGACTGGAAAGAAGGCTCAGTGGTTAAGAGCACTGGCTATTCTTCTAGAGGTCCTGAGTTCAATTTACAACAACCACATGGTGGCTCACTACCATCTATAATAAGATCTGGCGCCATCTTCTGACCTACAGGCCATACACACACACACACACACACACACACACACACACACAGGCAAAAACATTGTATATATAAATAAATCTTTAAAAAAAAAAAGCTGGGCAGTGGTGGTGCACGCCTTTAATCCCAGCACTTGGGAAGCAGAGGCAGGCAGATCTCTGTGAGTTCGAGGCCAGCCTGGGCTACAAGAGCTAGTTCCAGGACAGGCTCCAAAGCTACAGAGAAACCCTATCTTGAAAAACCAATAATAATAATAATTTTGCCAGGCGGTGGTGGTGTACTCCTTCAATTCCAGCACTCAAGAGACAGAAACAGGCAGATCTGAGTTCAAGACCAGCCTGGTCTACAGAGTTCCAGGACAGGCTCCAAAGCTACAGAGAAACCCTGTCTTGGGGAGGGAGGGAAAGGAAATAAAAACAAACAAACCATGATTCCAGTTGGGCATGGTGGTTCCACTTGTAATCTTTATCTTTTTTAAGATTTATTTACTGTACATTTGTGTTTTGCCTGTATATATTCTGCGTAAAGGTGTCAGATTCCCCAGAACTAGAATTACACACAGGTATGAACTGTCATGTGGGTGCTGGGAATTGAACTCAGGTCCTCCGGAAGAGCAGTTAGTGCTCTTAGACACAGAGCCATCTCTCCAGCCCCCTCCACTTGTAATCTCAAAGCTGGGGAGGCTAAAGCAGAGGTTCCTACAAGAGTGAGGTCAGCCTGAGATACAAAGTGAAACCCTGTCCTACATCCCTATCCCCCCCTCACACAAATAATAAACCCCACAGAATTGTTCCAGTGTTTCTACTGCCCTGTGAATCCTTTCTGATGGGTTTCAAAGTATTTTTGGTATGTTCCCTGAACTCATTCTCTTCAGGGCTATAGTGATTCACTCATTCATTTACAAGGCATTTTTTTTGTTTTAACTTTTTAAAAATATTTATTTGTTGTGTATACAATATTCTGTCTGTGTGTATGCCTGAAGGCCAGAAGAGGGCACCAGACCTCATTACAGATGGTTGTGAGCCACCATGTGGTTGCTGGGAATTGAACTCGGGACCTTTGGAAAAGCAGACAATGCTCTTAACCACTGAGCTATCTCTCCAGCCCCTTTTGTTTTAAATTTTAAAGATTAAAAAAAAAAAGATTGATTTAACATTGGACAGAGTGGTTCACACATTTAGTCCCAGCACTGGAGGTCTCTATAGAGTTTAAGCTGGGTTACACATTGAGACCCTGTCAAAAAAAAAATAAAAATAAGGACTGGAGAGATGGCTCAGAGGTTAAGAGCATTGCCTGTTCTTCCAAAGGTCCTGAGTTCAATTTCCAGCAACCACATGGTGGCTTACAACCATTTGTAATGAGGTCTGGTGCCCTCTTCTGGCCTGCAGGCATACACACAGACAGAATATTGTATACATAATAAATAAATAAATATTTAAAAAAAATTTTAAAAAAATAAATAAAAATAAAAATAAAAAATAAAAAAGCCTGCTAGTAGTGGCATATTCCTTTAATCTCTTTTAATCGCAGCCCTTGGGAGGAGGCTTATTGATCCGAGTTCAAGACCAGCCTGGTCTACCAAGTGAGTTCAGGACAGCTACACCCAAATTCTGGAACCCAAATCACTACCAGGAGACCGACTCTGATGGAAAAAAACAGTCTTTATTAACTCCATCCATCTGAAGCAGCAGCAGTGGTAGCCCCAGCTGTGGCGGCGGGAGCAGCAACAGCAATGACTACAACGCCCTACAACAGGAATAGACCAGCAAAAGGAATATTGCAGAAGAAACCCCCCCAGCATCCTAGTGTGGGGGTTTGTTGAGAAGGATGTTATATAGGGGAAAAGGCTTGGGGAATTCCAAGCCTCTGGGCTTGTGATTGGCTGCCCCCTAGTGGGATGAGGGGAATTCCAGACTTCCAGGCTTGGGATTGGCTGTCCCATATAAAGTGTCAAGCCTCTAGGGGCTCAGTTATTGGTCAGTTTTCTCTGCCCAGGGATTGGCTGGTTTTGTGTCAAGGGTAGAAGTGTCTCTGATTCTGGGACCAAACTGTGTTTCTTTCTTTGGTTCTTTTTCACCTTTTGACCCTAATTTTGGGACCAGGGCAAATATCTTTGATATACTCTGAATCTAGGAACTTAATGCATTCTTTTGGTCCTGGTTTCGGGGTCTGGGGATTTTTCTCCGGCTCTATGTTTGGGGACAAAGTGTCTCTTCCCCTGACTCTGGTGCCATTTTCACAGTGTGTTTCTTTTGCTGGGTCCGGGCTTGGATCCTAGCCATTCAGGGTCTCTATAGTGCTACGGATCAGAGATTTTCTGGGGCCTGCGTCACTCAAAAATGTCTTTATTAAAAGTTATATTAAAATATTTTGTTTTCTGTATATGTGTGAGGGCATGATTATTTGTTTACATGCCACATAAGCTTGGGTGTCTCTGGTGGCCAGAAGTCAATGGCTTTCCTGTAGCTGGAGTTACAGTTGTGTAGGTGCTGGGACCCAAACCTGGGTCCTCTGTAAGAGCAGCAACTGCTCTTAACCACTCAGTCATCTTTCCATCTCCTATTATTATTATTATTATTATTATTATTAAGTGTGCTTTCCCCCCTTTTTAAATCAGAGTCTGTCTGTGAAGCCTTGGCTGGCCTGAAATTTTGTAACCCAGGCTGACCTGCCTCCACCTCCCACGTGCTGGCACAAAATGTGTGTGCTACCACATCTAACCAGTTTCTGATTTCTAAAAGGCTTTGTTTCCTTTCGTTTTCTGTGTGTGGAAGTTTTGCCTGCATGTGTCCCTGTGTAGGTGCAGGTACCTGCAGAGGCCGGAAAAGGCATCAGACCCCCCGGAACTGGAGTCACAGACAGGCGTGGGCTGCGTGTGGGTGCTGGGAATTGAACCAGGTCCTCTGGAAGAGCAGCCAGTGCTCTCGACCACGGAGCCATTTCAGTGGTGAAGTTCCAAGGTCAGACACTTGCTTGGAAAAGGGACTGTGAACTATGAAAACGGGAAGAAAGAGGGCCTGGGTGAAGTCACAAGAGCAGTCTAGGCTCATGGAATCCTCTGTGCAAAGACCGTATGGCAAGAAAGAAAACAGGTTACTGAGGAGGTGAAAGCTGAGGTGAAGCTATGTGATTTAGATCCGGCCCTAAGACCACCTGACAGTCTGGGGTTTTCACCCTACAAGCAATGTTCTTCACCCTGTAGCATGTTCCTTATTCTGTAGCATGTTCTTAACCCATGCTTCAAATTCAGTGCCTGTCCTGTCCTTGGGATTTCTCCAGTACTTCACCCAGCTCTATCAGCTTCTTCATCACATGCCCATGTGGTGGTCCAGCCTCTCCCCTCCCGGGACAGCCCAGAGTCCTGCTTGGGCAACCTGCTGAAAATAGGATGCAAAACTCACAGCCCAGGTCTGGGACTTGGCACTCTCTCCTAAACTGTCTGTCATTACCTTCTTCCTCGCTGGTCTCCCCCCTGGGAAAGTCACCCTGGGACTTGGGGCTAGAGAAACTGACAGACATCTGTCAGTGACATTGGTACCATAAGATGTGCATAAGGGGAACCCACCAAAGGGAAACTCACACAGACGTGGTGGGCCAGCCTTTATTGTGAGAACTAAGCCCATGGAAGAGGAAAATCAGCTCTCACAGGATGGCAATGGCAGTGCATGGCAGGGAGCGAGAGGGACGCTTAGGAAAGGACTTAGTGGAGGGAGGCACGAAGAAGGAAGAAAAGGCACTGGAGAAAACCAGTTGAATCCTGGGGAAAGGCAGGCTGAACTTGTTGGAGGAGCCCGTGATGCAGGAGAGCCCTCCTCATTTTCGGGCACCCAGTCCCAGGGCAACGGCGAGGCCCACGACCAACAGGAACATGGCGACCGACAAGAGCACTGTGATGACTACCATGCCGCCCGTCCTGGCCATTCCTAACTCGATAGACTCCATGTTCCTTCCTGTCAGAAGAGAAAACCTTAGTGGGTTGGAGGGGTCCCTAGCTAGGGCTCATAGCTTAGCAGGCCAGCCAGCAGGGCAACAACAGCTATGGCCCTCTCCCAGTAACCCGTAGAAGTCACCAAGGAGATTTTCCTAAAGCACCGTTCTTCCTCACAAGGAGTCTTTAGTTCAGCAGATGGGTGAACAGGAGGTGGCCAGAGCAAACATTCAACAGGAGAGTGACAGTCCTCTGAAAACAACCTGCTCTAGGGGATAAAGCCCAGCGCTCAGGTGTGTAGACTCTTGAGATGTTAGAGGGGTAGGGATTTTACTTACGAGGAAGCGTAGACATCGGGGTTTCTGGGCTGGATTCGGTGGACGTCCCCTTCTGCACTTGGTAGGAAATGCTTTAGAGGTGGGAGTTGGAAGAATGCAGAGATCCCGGTAGGAATCTGGCATTTGCGAGGAGCGGTTCCAGCCCCCATCTCCATGGCTATGCCCCCCAACTGCGCCCTCCTGGGGTTAAGGCTCACATTCCGTACACTTTGCCTGTGCCCTCTTCCTCATGCTTACCAGCATCCCCCAACATCTCTTTCTGTATCCCACAAGTGTCCATCTGGTACCTACTAGTATTTAGTTCCTGGGGTTAGGTTTGTCACTTGATATGCGCTGAGCCGCGTGACGGTGAAGCCAGCCCCACTGTCCACCACGCTCACTAGCTCCCTGCGCCCACGGCATGGAGGCACCACAAACACTGACTTCACCACTAAGGGAAAATAGGCGCGAAAGGCAGGGTCGAATGTCTAGCAGTGCCAAGGAGAACGGGTTAACAGGGAAAACTAAACAGGTACCAGGAAGCCGACCTTTGCTGTCGTTGGCTCTCCGGACCGTCAGTGTGGCATTACCTCCCGTGAGGTGACATGGGGGCAAGGCAACTAGCAGGCTTTCTGTTAATGCTGGAGATAGCAGCCCAGAGAGGCTTGAGATGTTGAAGTCTGTTAGAAAGTCAGGAGGGAATGCAGATGGAGTTAGACTCACTCTCAACTCAGATCTGGCCGAGGGGGTCATTACAGGGGGCGCAGTGTCAGGACTGCGCAGTGTCAGGGCGCAGAGTCAGGTGTGACTCTGACCACCAGGTGGCAGTCTTGAGCTGCAGATGGTGGCTATGCTGAACCGCCAGGGAGACGGACTAGACGGACTAGCAGCCAGTCAGTTCCCAACCTCACCCACCCACACAAACTGCGGATTCTTCACCTCTACCCCTGAGTCAGGAAGAAGCCTAGGAATTTGTCAGCGGCTCACTACCATCGCTAGTCTTCAACCCCAGCCAGCTAGGAGTTTGAGAGTCCTGGAAGAGACAATGCTCCCTGTCTAGAGCTCTAAAACCCTCCTCACTTTCCCCAGAAACAGAGACCTGCAGCCCCCGGAGCCAGGACAATCAGGAGACCCAGAAACAAGGGCAAGGTCTGGACAGGCAGCGTGGAGGTCATACTGCGCTGGGAGCTGGATCCTGGAACAAGCTGGGGCTTCCTGAGGCCAATGAGGCCCTGCCCCAGGGTGGCTGATTTTGTCTTGAGGTAGGAGGGGCTGCTGGGAATCCAGTTCAACTTGCCAGGACACTGTAGCCTCAGGGAGGGCCCCCAGACAGGTTTTTCAGGATTGGGAGTTGGCCCTCAGGCCCAAAAGGGGATGCCTGACTGGGTCCTGGCAGTTTAGCTAGGTGCAGGGGAGGATGACTCCTTCTTTGAGAACTTCCATGTCTGAAGCACAGAGTTCCTCTTTGTGTGTCTACAGCCATGATAGGGGCTACTTCTCCCCAAGGAGGTAGGGATCTTTCTAGGAGGGCCACGATTCTGAAGTTGCCCTGATCTGTCGGGGAAAACCCCAAGGATCGAAATGGCTCTGGTTAGTAAGAATGGAAGAGAAGGAGATTGGTTGTGCGGGGTGGGGATAGCGCAGCCAGCATTCTAATTCCTAGTGTTGACTCGGGCTCAAGACACTGTGGTTCTGGAAGAAGTTGAGGGTGTCTGTGGGAATCTTCAGATTTCTGCAGAGGGTGGGGACAAAGGAGGTGAGAGACAGCTTCCAAGGAGGCTCAGTCCAGCAAGGACGTCGGGCTCTGGTGTAGACACAGATAGACTTGGGCAGCAAGCATTGGTTCAGCTGGTGGAGAATAAAGAAGAAAAATCTCAGGAAACAGAGACAGGCAGATTCTGAGTTCCAGGCCAGCCTGGGCTACACAGTGAGACCCTGTCTCAAAACAAGTCAAGCAGGGTATAGTGGTGCACACCTTAATTCCAGCACATGGAAGGCAGAGGCAGAAGGATCTCTGTAAGTTTGAGGCCAGCCTGTTCTACACAGTGAGTTCCAGGACAGTCAGAGCTATGCTGAGAGACCTGTCTCAAAAGACAAGTCAACCAGGCTGGGCAGTGGTCGCGCACACCCTTAATCCCAGCACTCTGGAGGCAGAGGCAGGTGGATCTCTGAGTTTGAGGCCAGCCTGGTCTACAGAGTGAGTTCCAGGACAACCAAGGCTACACAAAGAAATCTTGTCTTGAAAAAAGAAAAACCAAACAAAAATCAGGACTGGAGAAATGACTCAGTGGTTAAGAGAACTCAGTATTCTCCTAGAGGACTGAGTTCAATTCCCAGCACCCTCATGACTGTTCACAACTGTCTGTAGCTTCAAGATCTGACAACCTTACACCGACATACACGCACACCAATGCACATAAACTAAAATAACAAATAATTTTTTAAAAAAGACCCCCAAATCAACAACAAACACCCTCAAGTCAAAACGAGCCAGCGACAAGGAGAACGGTCTAAGGGTGCAGCTCAGGGTAAAGGTGCATACGGCATGGTTCCCATCCACGGTACACAAGACCAGCACCGTTTCCTGGTGTCTCCCACCCCAGGCTAAAGAGAGAAGTAAATTTGTCAGCCAGAGGGAGAGGCAAGTGAACCACTCGGAATGCTGGGCAGGGGCTCTGCATGCCCTCACTCTCGGCATGCCATCGTAAGTGGCCCTGCTTTGTCAGTGTGGAACCTGAGACTCAGACAGGTTGTCCCTGAGAAACGGTCAGGTGGGCGTGGGCTTTTCCAGATTGGAGAACTCTGCCGAGCCTGAGCTCAGAGTACCCTCAGTGTCTGTTCCAGAAGCCACCTACTTTGCCTCGTCCAGAGAAAGGGCCAGGGGATCCCGGTAGAGCGGGACTAGTGAAGGACTGCTATGATGGCCTTCCCCCACGGTGTGTGTGTGTGTGTGTGTGTGTGTGTGTGTGTGTGTGTGTATGTGAAGCTCGAGAAGTAAGGGGAATAGAAGTAAAGACAGAACCTGGGGGCTCAGGCAGGGAACAGGAGGGGTTCTTCTCTGAGCGTCTTCAAATTTACTGTGCAATGGGTTATCGGGGAATTGGTTCAAACACAACTTCTGATTCAGTGGGTCTGAGGTAAAGCTTGAAACTACATTTCTTTTTTTTTTTCTTTTTGTTTTTTTTTTTTTCGAGACAGGGTTTCTCTATAGCTTTGGAGTCTGTCCTGGAACTAGCTCTTATAGTCCAACCTGGCCTCAAACTCACAGAGATCCACCTGCACCTGCCTCTGTCTCCCGAGTGCTGGGATTAAAGGCGTGCACCACCACCGCCTGGCTGAAACTACATTTCTTGAACAATTTTTTTTAAATTAGACTTATCATCTTGTGTATGTGTATGCCCTCATGTGCCACAGCACACATGTGGTGGGCAGAGGACAGCCTGTGGGAGCTGGTCCTCTCTTTTCACAGTGTGGTTTCTTGGTATGGAAGCGCTGTTCCTCAGGCGTGGTGCAGGAGCCTTTACCTGTGGAGCCCTGTTTCCTAGAGCTGCATCTCTAAGCTGCTTACAGAAGACACACCTCTCTAATGGAAAGCGGGACAGAGGCTTTTCTCACGCTGCCAGCACAGGCTGCCTTTGGGTGGATTTCTGTGTGTCCTGCTCCACGGCTTTTGTCCCCTTTAGATGAGATCTTATCCCCACTCTACACACTGAAAGATCCGCACACAAAGGAGAACTTGAGGTGGGGAAGAGGGCTAAATGGTGGGATGTCAGGGTCAGGGGATCTTCCTGGCGTGGCTCAACACTTCAACACTGCAGGGTGCTTATGCATGGGCCTGGGAGCTCTCTCCTCCCATTTGGGCTAAAGAGGAATCAGGGAGAGGATGGGTTTACTGCAGAGCAGATTGTGTTGGTCCCGTCTTAGGCCCCATTTGAAATTAGGAGTGAGATAAAGTGAGACAGGAAAGGGCATAGCTCTGGTCACATTTTAAAGGGATATGAGGGTCCTGTGCCTTTAAGCCCTCCCATCTCCCTCCAATCTCCCCCCTCACCTTCCCCACCCGAACCCTCCCCAGGTTTCTGGAGGAGCAGAGTTGCGTCTTCTCCCTGCCCTGCCGAGCTGCTCACTGGCTGCTCTGGAGGCTGTGCTTTGCGGTCTCCATGGAAACCATTAGTTGCTAAGCAACTGGAGCATCATCTGTGCTGAGCTCTCGCATCTAATTATCCCATCACAGTGGCTGAGAAGGGTTTGGGGAGCTGAGAGGAGGGGGAGGCCCAGCATTGGAGCAAGAGGATAACTCTTTCAGCAGAGCAGATTCACTGACAGTGCTGGAATCATTTAAAGCCACAGCACCCTGTTCCTCTGGAGGATTTCCTAAGGGCCAAGCAAGGGAACCAGGATCACAGGTCAGGAGTCTCTCTCCTGAACTCTGTCTTCTCCGCTGTCCTCCCCTTGATTCTTGAATCTAAACTTCTTATAGTTCCCACCCCTTCCTTCTCCCGAATACCCTCCTCCAGCCAAAAGACACTTGTTGCTGCCAGGTTTGCCCCTGGGATAAACTAAGCAAAAAGCTAGAAACATAGGCTAAGCTCTTGCCCTTCCCTCTTCTGCTCCATCAGGTTCTTCGAACAGACCTCTTCTTCTTCCTGGATTAGACTCCCCTCTCCCCCTTCTTGAGCTACAGCAGCTCTGCAAACTGAAGAATCAGGATTAAAACCCAGGTCTGCCTGACCTGTCCACAGTCCTACTTCAACTAGGCCACTCCTCTATCTCCCAGGGAATTAGAAAACACGTCCGCCTGTCTCCAGGGGCATGCTAGACACAGATGGTGACCATTGCTCTCCTGGAGACGAGAGATGCCTTATGGCTAGGTGAACCACTTTGAACCTCATTTTTTTTCCAACTTAAAAATGGAAAGACTCCAGCCAGGTGCACGCCTTTAATCCCAGCACTTGGGAGGCAGAGGCAGGCAGATGTCTGTGAGTTCAAGGCTGTCCTGGTCTACAGAGTGAGCTCCAGGATAGCCAGGGCTACACAGAGAAACCCATCTCAGGGGACAAAAAAGATTTAGGACAAAGAGCACTGAGAGCAGCTGTAGTCTAGGCGAGTGTGGACACTCTGAGGGCTTGGGCCTGCAGGTCAGGAGTGGTGCACACCAAATATTAGCTTGTTGGGAGGAGCCATTCTTTGGAGATCTAAGGCTGGAAAATGCGTGGCCCTAAGGAAAACTGCATCATCCAAGTCAACAGAACCAAACCTTCCAGCTTTGTGGCCTTGGCTAAGTTGTTGCTTCAAGTTTTAGTTTCCATTTCAAATGCATTTGTTTAATTTATTTTATGCACTGTGAGTGTTTTGCCTGCACATGCATGTAAGCTGTGTGCCACTTCTGTGCCTGGCATCCTCTGAAATCAGAAGACAGCATCGGATCCCTGGGAACTGGGGTTATAGATGGTTGTGAACTGCCATGTGGGTGCTAGGAACTGAACCCACGGCCTCTGTAAGAAAAACTGCTGAGCTGTCTCTCCAACTGCTGTAGGCTGTAGTTTAGACTTGATGGGAACAGCAAAACCTGCCTCCTGGGAATATGGTGACTAACACTCCAACTGATTTATTTAAGAGGGCCTAGGGCAGTATCTGGTTCAGTAAATACTGATTTAAGTAATCCATCTTATTCTCTCTCTCTCTCTCTCTCTCTCTCTCTCTCTCTCTCTCTCTCTC